AGAGGGGCGGTATACAAATAAATCATATTATTATTATTATTATTATCTTTTGCATGCTCAGGTTCTCCTAATGAAATGGCCAGACGTTTTTGTCTGATGCAGAATATCTGCATGCGGTTCAGGGCTGCAGAAGTGGTGATTGCTCACATGGTGCCAGTTTGCCAGTTGGTACACACATACATTTGGATGTGCCCGCACAGAGAAGTGCACCCAAATAACCAATCATGCATTGGGTTGCATATTTGGGTGTACATTCACAGTTGCACAGTGTTTGCCATTCAACATAAGAGTTACCTAGCATCATCAAGGCATAACTCCACCTGTGGAGATTTAAGCCGCATGATCCTGATGTGGGATTTCAGCCTATGCTGCTTAGTCAGTGACACACACCAACATCCACCAACACACAGTCAACTTTCCAAAAAGCAGAGCAAGGTCTGAGAGGTTACGCCGCCGATGTTGACTTCTATAGTATCCACATTGTATGCGCTGTGCATCTCCAGTCCATACACACAGTGTGTACAATGCAGGTCCTATAAGGTCAGGTTATCTCAGAGAGGAAGGTGAGTGCCAAGCTATAGTGGATAATATTGAACCCTATATTTCCAGCCAAAGTTGGCCTGGAGGATCTCTGGATGCCTAGAGAGATCATATTTTTTCAAATGCAGGAAAGTGAAGCTAGGGGTACTGGTCCTGCAGATAAGGACTAGCTGCCTTTGAGGTGACTCATGGCGACCCTATGGATGAGACATCTCCAAGACCCCTGTCCTCCACTGCTCTTAGTTCCTACAAATTCAGACCTGTGGCCTTCCTGGTTGGGTCTATCTACCTGCCGCGCAGTCTTCCTCTCTTCTACCTTTCCTAGCATTATTGTCTTTTCTACTGAGTCTTGCCTTCTCATGATGTGGCCAAAGTACAGCAGTCCCAGTTTCATCATATAGCCTTCCAGGGAGAGTTCAGGCTTGATCTGCACAAGGACCAATTGGTTTGACTTTTTGGCCATCCACGGTGTCCTCAGCACTCTTTTCCAGTACCACAGCTCAAATGAGTATATTTTCTCTCTCATGTACCATCCAGCTCTCGCATCGGTACATGGTGATGCAGAATACAATGGCTTGGAGAATTCTAACTTTAGTGCTCAATTGTGTGTCTTCACACTTTAGGAGCTTATCTAGTTCTTTCGTAGCTGCCCTTCCCATTCCTAGTCGTCTTCTTATTTCTTGACTGCTGGCCATTCCTCACTTTCAGCATCCCTCCTCCCTTCCCAGCATTATTATCTCTTCCAGTGAGTTGTGCTTTCTCATGATGTGGCCAAAGTACGACAATCTCAACTTTATCATCTTGGCTTCCGAGGAGATTTCTGGCTTGATCTGTGCTAGGACCCAACTGTTTGTCTTTTTAGCTGTCCACAGTATCCTCAGCACTCTTCTCCAGCACCACATTATCTCCAATGAATTGATTTTCTTTATATTGGTATTCTTCACTATCCAGCTCTCACATCCATACATGATGATGGGGAATACAATGGCTTGAACGATTCAAACTTTTGTGCTCAATTGTGTATCTTTATACTTTAGGATCTTGTTTAGTTCTTTCATAGCTGCCCTTCCCATACTTATTTCTTGACTGCTGGCCATTCTGAAGTATGCAAATTCTTGAACTATTTTGATTTCCTCATTGTCTAGGTTGTGTGTATGTATATGTGTGTGTGTGTGTGTGTGTGTGTATAGCTTATACTGAACAACAAATGTAGGGAGGTTGAAGCTTATGAGTGATTCTGCTACTCACAGACTTGCTTGTCCGTTGCAATTCTTTTTAAGCAGAAGAGAAAAATACAGTACTTTATAATGCCTTTCCATTAAGCCAAAACATGCTGTTTCTAACTAAAGAAAGACTCTAGCTTGCAAAGGCCACTTCCAAGGGGGAAATAAAGCTGAGAAAAAGAAGGCATTAATGAATCCCAGAGAAGAGGAAATCTCACCCAAGTCTGACACGGAAAGTTGCTTCCCGAAACTTGCTTATTAACACCATAGGTGTAAAGGAGTGTTAAACTGGTCTACACTTGACATCTAGGAAACCTGAAATCAGTGATTTCTAAAGCTGTGAAAGCATTACATTTCTAGCCTTGGGAATAATAAGCTTCAATAGAACTTGTTGGAGGGAGGTATTTTAAAAGCACCTTCCATGTGTTAGGGCTGGAACACATGGAGTGCTTCCATCAAAAATGTGGGAAATTGACCCAGTAGTTTGAACGTAAGTGGTTTTATGAAAGGTTTTGCCACAATTTTCTCAGAATTGTTCTTTGGCATGTTGACTTGGGAGGACAATATTTCCAGTTTCTATGGACAGAAAAAGCTGGATAGTCAAGAAATCTGGTTTGAAATGTGGAACTAGAGGAGAGTTCTACGTAAGGATACCATGGACTACAAAAAATGTATTCAAGAGCAAATCAAG